CAAAATACATACATAGTTTAAAATATTAATTTTTGATTGGATCACTTTTAATCTTAATATATATAAATCTCGTGTCACAATGTTTGTCCTCAATGGACTCCTAAACCACTTAACCGATTATAATAAAATTCGCACACCATGTGCAGTTCCATCCAACTTGAGAGATAGGATAGTTTAAATCTCAAATTATAGTCGCAATTTTAATTTATTGCTAATTATTTGTCTGTTATTATTTTACAAAGTTTTCTATTATCCCCGTCTCCCCTTTGTGCGATGCTTCGTAGCTTCCCCCCCTAAGCATAGACGTGTGCATGTGTGTACGTGTGGGTTGAAGTTGACCGGTTGATGTTTGGAGAAGGTTACTAGGATACTTTTTGAAGTGAAAACTCCTTTAGAGAACACTAAACGACACTAAAAGGAAACAAACATATTCGCTTATATGGTTTAGCATTCGGGAGAAAAAGAGCACACAAATATAATGTTTTCTATTATCTCCGTCTCCCCTTTGTGCAATTCGTAGCTTCCCCCTAAGCATAGACGTGCGATTTGTAGCTTCCCCCTAAGCATAGACGTGCGTGGATTTGTACGTATTGGTTGAAGTTGCCCGGTTGATGTGTTTGTTTGAATAAGACTTAGTAAGTGTAGGATACTTTTTGAAGTGAAAACTTCTTTGGAAGATACTAAACGAGTTTTCTCCGTCTCTTCTTTGTGCGATGCTTCGTAGCTTTCCCACTCAACATGCAGTGACCAAAACGATCTAATCTTATCCGACAAAACCGTAATGCAACTAGGATTCGATTGATTGGAAATGAAAGGACTGAAGAAGAACAAAAAATTGCATGTGAAAAGCGCCGTGTTAGTATGACTCGACTTCGTGCTTCTCGCTTTTCCAAGACGAGAACGAGACGATACGAGAAAAGTTTCGGTATCGCGTGAAGCCCTATTCACACGATACCGAGATTTTTCTCGTGTCGTCTCGGTCTCGTATCGCTTTTCCAAGACGATACCTAGACCGAGACGATACTTTTGATACTCTCGTCCACTCTTGTCTCGTGTGAAGCCCTAATGGAAACGCAAGTAATTTGATTTTGTCTAGAAAAACATCTTAAAATAATGTTTAGTAAAGTTGAATTTGGAGTTAGTTTCTCAGTTTTTCTTGATAGTAGGCACTGACATGTTTAATTTGGTTTTGTTTTTACAAACCGCGACATAGTCATAAAGATAAATAGCTGTATTGTGCGTATTCTGTATTCAGCCACGTTGCAATATAATGGTATTTTAACTTGAGAAAGTTTTTCCTGATTTGAAAAACCTCAAAAAACAAGCTTAAAAATCATTTAATTCCTGGTCGAGCAATTTCATGGAAAGTATGGAATTTGAGATCGAAGATACCAAAGATATATTTACCCTGACACCGGGCATACTCATCGATATAAATTCCGATAATCAATCCTCAGAAATACCTAGGGAATCAAATAATTTGGTAAGATTGCCACTAGATAGTCGTTATTTTATTCGAGACACCGATCCGCTTCTATCGTCAACGGCCACCGATGATCCATATATATTACCTGGCAGTTTGTCACCATTCCTCCCGGTAATGCATAAAACCACTTTTGAATCTATGGATTATGCCCCAACTTTCGGCAATTTATTGGATGGTCTGGACGCTGGCACTAATGATGAAAGTGAAGCGAATATTGTACCCGGCCAAATTAACCCACAATCCAATGTTAGTCCGACCTCAATAGATAATATAGCAAGTGCAATAGAAACTCGTAATTTTAATTTGCCGGACAACGACGAACAGTATAAGCGAAACCTTGCAAGAATGCATGATGATATAGATAATTTTTTGGATTACTTTATTGGGCCCAATGGGGGTCTCCAAAACAAGCAAGCTCAAACCCATCAAGCCAAGGGGAAAGTATCAAATAAAAATACCAATGTTAAATGATATTTTCGATTTTTTTTCTGATTAAATACTTATGTAAATACATAGAACATGCTAAATGTTGTTCTATGAAATAAAATATTGTAAACTAAATAAATCTCTCCAATTACCATCTTTGCTACCCTTCCCACTTTTCGAGTGGGTTAGTCGCTATCCCATTTAGTATAGAATATGTTAATTGATGAAACTTCTATTTTCTCGTTTTGTTTTTCTTAAATGTCACTCGCGAAGCTGCAACTGGTTGGGCTGATGATGGCAGAACTTCGCAGTGGTGACGTACGGTGCAGCACAAGTTCATTTAAAGTTCCATATGCCGTGAGCCAAACCTCCCATTATGTGCAGCTGCTGCCCATGCTCAAAATGGCCCGGCGGACAGTACAACATTTATAACCTTACATTTCACAGTAGTGTGCAAGTGTATTTCGAAAATTTAAAATTCAAAATAACAAGCTAAGTAAAGTAAACACTTATTGTATGCTTAACCCCCACCGGTTTTAATAAAGTATCGTTTTCAAAGCGATATTGTGAGGGTAAAGCGTACAATAAGTGTTTAGTTCATTTAGCTTGTTATTAATACTCACCATCTCGTGAAACTATTGTTTTTCAATAAAATTCAAAAGTTCAAATACAAAAACCTCAACGTGGAATTGGAAGTAGAAAAAATCCTTGTTACGCTCGATCTCAATCAATATCGATTTCAGGATACAATTTTTGTTTAACTCACTTGATTCCTAATATGCTATTGTTATTAATACAACATCTGCATGCTAAAAATCATGTGTGCAGTTCACACGTGGTAGAAGTGAAATCTTCTGGGTAGAACATTGCACTGGTGAGAGAATGAGTAGAAAATAGTATCAGGAGTAGGATACTATAGGTTTATTTATTATGCCCTTATTAGTAAATAATTAGTACCTACTCAAAATAACAAAAATCTCTTTTTTGACCAGTTGCAGGATATTATATACAAGTTAAGCAGAGACAGGGAAGTGCACAGAACAGCAAAATAATCGGTCGACTTGGTGAAAGTGTGAAAATGATAACGGGGCTGATTAAGAGTACGGCACGTACTTAAAACTAACACCCTGCAGACTTGTACGTACCAATAAAGCCGACCCTGCACAAGTAAAACACTACCATAACGTCATGCAGCAGCCTTAAAAAAAAAACACACCATTTATCCGACGTAGCTGTGCCAGCGCCCATTCTTCGTATCATAACAAGTAACGCGCCTTGTTGGCGACATTTCACACGCATTGATTCTCTTTCTTCGAATGAGAAACGATAAGGGCGCCTTTGTACTGTTTTTGTTGAGTCTATAAGTCTGATCTCTAGTGTGCCCGTGTTTGCGCGCGTTAATGGCATTTTGGTCACAAAGTATTCAGAGAAACTACTTATCACGCTCTCGAGTTTTGCTTTTTGACAAGCAGAAATATGGGTTTCTAAATCCTCTAATTTAAAAGTTGTGTTTTCTGGAACACACGAGTGAATGTTTTTCAAATGCTCTTTTTTAATTTCACGACCCATTGAATCAAATACAAATCAGGCAAGACGTGAAACCAGATCTCAGCAAAATGACTTTGAATTTCAACTTGACATAATATTTGCTCAAACGAACTAACTTTACTTGTACCAATTCCAATCAGTGTTACGGAATTATAAAATTTCTTTCATTTCATTCTGCTCCCGAATCTAAATGAAAGGGGTACGAATCACTATTATGTTTAAAGGTATCTACAGGTAAATCAACTGCACAGGCGTTGACGGTCTTTATGGAACCCTTATTCTTTCTGCAGCGGTTGGCGAAGTGTCCGGTCTCGCCGCATTTGAAGCATCTCACGTTGTTTGACGCTCCCTATGTGGATGGTTGAGGGGTGAATTACTGGTCTTGCCTTTGCTTCGTAGGGCAGTCGGCTTGTCGATGTCCAAGTTTGTTGCAGTTGAAACATTTCGTCAGCTTGGGTTGGAATGATGAAGTTCTTAACTTCTCTGGGCGTTGCGAGGCATTGTCCACTGCGGCTGGTCGTTTAAAGGACAGTGCTTGCAACTCCTTCTGTAGTTGCTGTCTCGTCTGAATTTCGTTTGTGAATGCCATACGCTGTACTCGATTATCAAATTGAGCAATGTGCGTTAATATGGTCGTAGTAGCGATTTGTTCAATGGACGCATCTTTCCAGTGAGTCATCAGGGAATTGAAAAGTCGCACCGCGTATGCACTCAAGTTTTCATCACCTCGTGGCCTTCCATCCTGTAGATTTATCAGGAACGCAGTCATCGTCTCCAACTGAATAAATCGTGCGGCAAACTGGGATTTAAAATCTTCCCACGAAAATATCCGGGTAGGTGATCTGCGACAACCACGATGATGCAACGCCCTTCAGTGCTCTGCTTAGCGTCATAATTAGTTTGGCACCCGTCAAATTCTTGTTGCCAATGCATAACTCTGCCATGGAACACCAAGCATGCGCGTCAGCATCTCGATTATCCGGATTAAATTCCGGCAAATTAAAATGTTTGATCGTATGGGGTTTTATCAACGCTTATTTATAAGATTACCATGACCACCCCGGCTTCGCACGGAAGTAAAACCGCATCAAAAATCCAAGTTGCGTAGTTTCCTCAAAGATTTAAGCATACAAAGGACAGACAGAGAAAGCGATTTTCCTTCTCCAAACTAAAAACATCAACTGGTCAACTTCAACCCACACGTACACACATACGCACGTCTATGCTTGGGAAGCTACGAAGCATCAAAAATAAAGAGGAGACGGGGATAATAGAAAACTTTTTTAAAATATGCAAAATTTATGTATATTTTTCAATCTTTCTGAGATATTTTCCTAATATTTTTTTCCGTAAGAACCTTCTACAGAGTATTAGAAAACTACAAAAAAAAATCAGCCAAATCGGTCCAGCCGTTTTCATGTTATGGCGTGACAACGGAAACGGGTTTTCATTTTTATATATTAAGATAAGATTGTGCATATTGTAATTTGGCACTTGCAATAACTGGCTTATTCTGTAAAACCAAATAAATCTCAGAACATTGTTTGAATATTTTAATTACTCGGTCATCTCTGACCACATCTCTGTCATATCTCTTTCATATACAGCAATATTACATTTCATAAACAACTAATAGATTTGAATCACACAAACCTGAGAGAATATGTTACAAAACCACTACAATGGTTTTCAACCCTGCACAATCACTACAATGATTTGCAGCATCAAGCACAATCACTAGAATGATTGACTTGTATCAATTTCACAACCACTAACAATGGTTGCAAATTTACTTAACTACTACAATGGCGAATATGTCGGATTCGAATACGAACAAGGATGCCATCTAGATATAAGAAGATTCGAAGGTATCGAGGGAAAGGAGAAGCATGGGTGAAGATACTTACTCCGAGGGCACCCATGAGTGGGCACCCAGAACTCATCTCGTTACGCCAATCCAATTTGTTTCGTTTCATCTAATACTTTGTTATAAATGACGCGTAATTTGAATTGGAGTGTTGTTGATGTAGTTGAGGAGGAGATTAATTCGACATATACATGTTAATTTTTCTCTTTGTCCTCTGATAAAAAAGTCCAAAGACGGTTCACAAGTGAATTTGTACCAATTCCGTGTCCTTTAAGGAAGAATACGGGAATTCCAATGGAATACCGCTATACCGGCATGGATTTCTGTATTTCACTGACTTTGTGTAAATCCTTTGGTGTGATCTAATGGTTAGTGAATTCGTCATCATCATTTAGATATAAAGTTGCTATATCAAACAAGGCACGAAGTTGAATCTATAATAAACCGAAATCAATTTTTCAATAATTTATGCGGGTATGGATAATTATGTTCATCTTACTTCATCAGTTACGAACTGTCGCCTATTATTTCGAATATTTCGTACAGTCGTAAACACGTCGACCACATGTTCGGATTCAATGGAATCTACAAGATTACACGTAGCAATAAATAAACCGGATGCTGTGGCACCATTTCTGGAATAACAAGTCACAATAAAACAAACTCAAATATTTGTTTCATAAAAGTACCTGCACATTACTAAAATACTACTAAATTCGGGACACGTAATTTTATTCATTTGAAGTTTAGTTTTCACCAAAGTAGTCAAACTATGCGGCAATACTTGGCCTACGTTCCATCCTTTAACTTCAATTATGTATACTTTTTTATATTCCATTGATACTTCTTTTTGTTTTAATCTAAATGTATGCATGTGAAAATGATCGGATTCAAAACCTTTTAAATGAGTCACAGTTAAACCTTTAGGAGTAATAAAGTGCCCATCACTTATCCAGGGCTTGATCTGTAAAAATACAAAATATATTAGCAAAATACAAATTAACAGATACGTAAAACGTACATGGTATGCTGTTTGTAATGATATTGTTAAATGTACATTGTTGTCCATTACTATTTTCCAAAACTCATCGACAGTATTGTTAAGTGGATGTTGAATGACAATAAATTTGTTGAGCTGCTTGTAACCATCCACAAAGACGGCAATACAATTGCATGAATTGTCATCTATGGAAGGCGATAAGAAAACGCTGCGAGATGAATGTGGTAATATGTATTGTTCCTTATTTTCGGGGTTGTCGTTGTTGTTAAATATAGGATATCTAGTTCGTAGCAATTTCATGAGCCTTATTGAGTCTTCAATATTTTTCATTTCATGTCTTAATTTGTCTTTATCTAGTTTTTTATAAATGACTGGATAGTATTCACATGGATAAGCATGTTGTGGGATGCTGATATACTCAAGTAAAACAAGATGAGCAAACAAATATTCTTCCACACTGTCAATGCAATTTGGTCGCTGGGTTCGTAGATTTTGGACTTGATGACAAATATCCACTTGAGCTTCCTGCTGTGCTTGTTGTATACTAATATGAACCAGTATAAACAAACCGGCGCATACATTATGTTTGCCAAATGTATGCACTAATATAGGACGATGTGGCAAGTCTTTTATCGTCTGAAGTAATTGTAGAAATGAATCTATACTGCGGGGATATATTTGCGTTCCATCTTTATCCCAATTTGTGAAGTGCAAGAAACGAGTCTGTCTTACAATATTAGCTTGCTGAACTCGAAAATGGTGTATCTTGTAACTTTTAAATGGGTATACTTTCATAGCTGTTACTTTGATATTTGAGAGGAGAATTGATTCAATTGAGCGATTATCAGGCCAATATTGGAAAAGCTTTTCCTTTAAAAGTTACACAGTTAATTTTAAACCATATAAAGTGTTAAAGTATGCATACATTTTTTATATCGTCTGTGCTCGCAAAAAGCACAATGTTTTCTATTTCTTCTTCTATGATCATCTTCCAAAACAGGTAGTGATTAGAAACCGTAGGAGCCGAACAGAAAATATACGCCTTGTCATAAAAAGGACTCTTTAAATTATAAATTGGTTAAATTAAAGGTATGAGTAATTCCTATTAATGAAAACTTACAGCTATGTAAGTAGCATCAAAGCACTCTACTGCTGAATATACATGACGCAATTTATCGTTTTTCTGGGTTAATGCAAAGATTTCATTAAACTCCGTGGTCAACTCGTACCCATTTGCCACGCTTTTTACATATTCGTAAAATTGATCTACAGCTACCAGTCTGGAATATTTCTCATTTTTATCTTCACTAGAACTGAATTCTTCCATTGGAAGTAGTTGGTGATCTGGTGTATTGGAATGTCGAAGATAGGGTGTGTTAGTGTCTTCTCTAGGACGAATATTCCTCCAGTACACGAGTATAAGAATAATATTTATTATTATTGTTGTTAAAAGCAAGAAAAATTCGAACATGTTTGGAAACTCGGTATTTTCCAATTTGCTTTGTTTTGCCAGATACCAATTAGATGATATTTGGTCATCTAACTCATTGACAATCAATATGCCTATTTCACAAAGCTCTCCAGTACAGTTAAATCCTGGTATTTGAGATAGGTTTATATTTACGTCTGTTCCGACAATGTCTTTGTATTCACTTTTCTGGTAGTGCCCAACAATCCAACATCTCTGTTTCTCTTTGATTGGAACAAGTGACTTATGATTTTCTTCTAATTTTTCTCTGCAATCGCTGGTATCGTCCAATTTATTTGCAAGGAAAATTATGTACAAATTGCTAATTGCTTCATCATTGTGAATATTCGACATTGAAATAGTTATAGAATTGTTGTCATTTTGTCTTAGAAAGGGCTCAGTGCTGAGGGATGGTTTTAAAATTGGACAAACATATTGTTGAGTAAGCAAAGCAGAAGTAAATTTTGAGTTAACTGTTTGTATAGAAACGATTGCCTGATGAGTATCAAGTTTACACTGAAATGGCGTCTGAAAAAGAAATAAAGAAAAAAAAATTATCTAATTATTTTTTTGAAGAATTTAGATAACTATATTATGATTATTAACTACTTTAATAGTATATGTCTTATTTTCTGGTACTTCGTGATAATATTGTTGTCCATTCACAATGATTTCAAATTTTAAAAGTGGTCCATTTGTTTTATTGGGATGTTGCCATTGCAACTCCAGAAATCGAGACTCATTCCAATTTGCAACCAAATTTACTGGAGGTTGCGGGACTAATTAAAATAAGATTTTATCAACAATGCTTTTGCATGTATTACACGAATTACCTCCAATCAATGTGGTTTCGTTTAAAATTGTTTCTAATCCATATTCTGATATACCCTGATTTTGCCCAGCAATTGATATTATGTAATTTTTGTTGGGTATAAGATTAGTTAATGTAGTGCAATACATATTTGTCCATATTTTACATGGACTCAAATAATTAATATAAGTTTGAGGCGTGCTATGTTCTTCTGAAGTGTAATAATATTTTATTACAAATGAATCCAGAATTCCAGTTGGTGGATAAGGTGGACTCCATCTCAGTGACAAACTTGTTTCTGATAAGCTATATACTTCCGCAAATGGAATTTGATTTGGTACTAAAATCAGCATTAAATTCAATACTTAAATTTTTTGAAGCTAAGGCAAAGTGAACATACCACCTGATAATGTCATCCAGACAGTTGACCAAGATTTGTTATAATCATTAATTCTATCCATTTTATTACGAAATATATTTACTTCTAACTTGTAATTTGTATATGGAAGTACACTATCAAGTGTAGTAATATCATTATATTGCATGTGCTTTGTAATATTAACCCATTGTCCTTCACACCATTCACTCATACAAATAGCATATGCATTGAGATAGATTGGACCATTCCAATGTTCACAATCAACAACTAATCCTATCTGAATTGAAGTTTCTAAAGTGATAATTCTACGATTAAAAGTATTTATGTCAATTGTTTCAGCTACATCAGTAAATCCTAAAATATTCTCAATGTCTCCTTGACCTTTCTTGGTAACTGCTGATACTGTTATATTATAAGTTGAATATGTTGATTGAATATTTGATATTCTATTTGCTATTTTACAGCCTCTTTTATCAAAAAACTGAAATTACAATTTGATAATTAGACATTATTAAATTAGTGTATAGGCCAGTTACCATCCATGTAACCACATAATTGGTAATAATACCCAAAACAGGTGTTGGTGCTTTCCAGACAACATTAAGTTTACTTGATGATGAGGAAATAATTGTTAAGTTTCTAACTTTGTTTGGAGCTAAACAGAATTTGATCACTCCTATAGTATTCAGTTTTTATAAGGTCTTGTGACACATCATAGAGTTGAAATGTAATATCTTTGGTGAATTTTGCCAAAAATGAAATACATAAATGATTAGAATCCATATAAAACCAATTACTTGTAATAAAATTATTAATTGATTTTTGAGCTTCATAATATGTATCTAAAATACAACATTTGGGATTAAATATATATGCATTAAAATTTGTTTTCATACAATCATGATATTTCCACATTGCATTTTCGGTATTTGAATGTATGAATAAGTTTGTAAAATTGTCAAGTTCTTCATCATTTTTAGCAAAATATGATAATAAATGTTCGTCGTTGATTATTACCTGTAATTGTCGATTTATAAAGCGAACAGAAATTTGACTCCATTCCTTCGTTGACAATAATGGTGTATGTTCAATCTAAAAATGTCGTATGTAAACTACATTAGTGTTATTTAATATAGCATACCTTATTTACGATATTTTCACATCCTCTTAATCGATCTTCGGAGTTTGTAGGGGATGCACCTCTCTTACATCGTCTTATAACACTTCCTTTCCCATTCCACCCACCCACAATAAAAATAATGCATTCACCCCTTTTTATCAATGGGTTTGAACATAAGTAAATTTGTGCACTTGATTTTCCCAAAAATGAAAAATTGATTTCAAAACTATTTTTGATTTTAATTTCTCCTAATTTTTCAAAGTTATAATTTTGTGTAAGTTGTGCCGATCTAGTCATAGTAATTGGGAACACTGAAGAAAATTTATTATTAATGTGTTATAAAATATATTACATTAAAATATTACTCTCCCAAGCATAATCCATCACTGGACCAAACGTTGCGTTGTAGGCTACTTCAACGTCCCATCCAAATTTTTTCCAATTAAAATCAACAATGCGCAGGGTTTCACTACCTTTAAAGGAAGATTATTATGTGTGCTTAATAATATTTTTTGTAGTTCCACCTTAAAGGTGCCACGTTTTCTCGGTTTACTGACATGAAAACTGACACTTTAGTCACGGACTTTAGTCGTGGGTAAAGCTAGCGTCTGCGCACTCGATTTCGGTGCAGCACATGGCCATATTAGACGCCATGCGGCAAACTTAGTCCAATTAATTAATAAAATTACATTTCTTAGTAGTATGAAAAATCTATTTTTCCACTTCCACCAATAAAACGCCAGTTTATGCACGACATTTAGACCCATAACGTGGTACTTTATATACGGACGGCCAAGTCGTACATCATATTCGGAGCAGCCGCCTGCGCACTTGCCTACGGAGCAGCACAAAGTGGTATGAAATGCCATGCGACGTCACTCAAACACGTCAAAGTAGGCGCTGCTGCTGCTCGTGTCGGAGCGGTACGATACGAATCGAAGCGTCACATGGACCGACGCGCGGTACGGCATTTATATCCTTACAGTTTGTAGTAATATGCAAGCAAATTTGGATGATTTAAAATACAAAAATTTAAATACAAAAACCGCAATGTGGAACTAGAGTGGAAGTAGAAAAAATAGCGTAAGCACCTCGAGGCTAAACGTTGTTAAAGACTCGATTGATTGACCGCTCGCTACGCTCGCTCCCAATCAATTCTCGTCTGTAATACCCTCGTTTAGCCACTTGTTTTACTTAATATACAATTATAGTTTTAAGATACACGTGGAAATAAAGTGCAAGTAGAAAAAATAGCATAAACACTACTTCGGTAATTATTGTTAAACACTGGATTAATTCGATTGAATCCTATGACTAAAGTGCTGTTTAGCTCACGTGAATTTTAATATACTACAGTGGAACCTCGATAAGTTAAACCTTACTAAGTTCAAAACCTCGGTAACTTAAAAAATTTTCTGATTCCCTTCCCTTGACAACGTAAAACCTCTATTACTTAGTAAAAACCTCCAGTAGCTCAAAGGAAATATTTTTGAACATGCCCTTGATAACTTAAAAAAAAACTATTTTTGTGACATCATAACATTTAATGTTTTATTGACTGAGCAGGTCGATAGGGGAAGGGAAGGTCAGCTGGTCAATTTTTTGTGGGAATCTCCAATGAAACACATGTTCTAAAATTCCCAAATCAAAATTTCAATCAATCTTCAATTTTTGCTTTACTATGTGTCAGTCTCAATCAGCTATGTTTTCTCTTTGATAATAAATTTCGCATCATCTCCTTACGAACCGATAAACAATTATTTACACCCCGCAACATTCCTTTTTCATTCACATTCCCAAAATCCATGAACCTCGTTACGTTAAAAATTATATTTCAATAACCTCTCTAACTTCAACTCTCGATAACTTAAAACCTTGATAACTTAAATTTTTAACCGCTTCCCTTAAACTTTAACTTATCGAGGTTCTACTGTATAAGTAATTAAATACCTGAAATAGGTCCAATCATGTTGGTGGGTTGTGTGATCCATGAAATTGCGTCGTTGTAATCATCACTGACACATGTTGCACGAACTTTCGCATTTTTTCCAATTTCAGTAACATTAGCAAATAACAATTGCGACTTTCCATGCACCTTATAAGAAAGTTGTGCTATGAACAAGAATAATATGAACGATCGCATTTTGAATACTAATTTGCTTCTAAAGCAAACATTGACAACTTGTAACATCTTAGAAGATATTACTCCAATCACCATTTCTCCGTATTTAATCTGTTTATTTATATATTTTTTTAATGCCTTATTACCAGTATATTATTGTGCAAACATCTTATATTGATTTTTATCAAATTCAAACGCAATACTGTAAATAATACATGACACAGAGAAATTTATTTGTACGCCACGACAATTGGATTTACGACTTTTTTTTATCTGAAACACACTTTTGCGCACGACTTTGTCCGAGTTACAATTTATTTAATAACATTGTATGTAGGGAAATAGGTAGTATTAAAGTCAGCGGGTAATGGGGAGTCACTTATATATCCACGAAACAATAGTTACAGTAACGCGTAAACGGCGTTCCACCTCCGTTCCATTTAGTGCCACCCCGAAAAATCATGCAAATCGGTGCATTAACATCATTGAGATACGCCAATATTTTATTTTTGAGCTCCGCTGATCTAATTTTACGTCCACGCAAATTAGAGATAAGTGTCGGAAAATATCTTGCAATATTCAGGGTGAGAACTTTATATAGTCTTAGTTAAACATTCAAAATCGTGATGTACGGTTTGGATTACATTAATGTTGTGAAAGGAAATATTTTTTTGTTTTCACAATGGTGCAATTGTGGGCAATGGGGAGTCATGCGACCCCAATGGACGTTTTTGTCTTTAGTCCGCTTTAAATGGCCTATAAAAGCAATGTGACTTATTTTCAATATAGCAACTACTTTGCAGAAACGATACTGCGGGAGAAAGTAACAAAACTTATGATTCCAATATTGGCACTGATGACTTTATGCCAGGAACGTGAGGATGAAGATTTGGAAAACTGATGTCTAATGTGCCTTGATTTAAAAAAACAATTAAATGTGGTTTCAGATGCACTTCATGTGGGCTATGGGCTCATGTAGAATGCACTGGGTGGGACTTTACTGGAATATTATGTCTGCGATATCTGCTGGAATTTCGTTTTGATTCCGATTGTTCCCAGAATTTTGACCACCAGTACCGCATGTCGGTGTAATGGGGGTCAAATCTGTTTTTTTAAACAGCCAATATCAAAATTGATTGTCAAAGTGACCGAAAATTATTTCAAATGTGGGTATTTAAGTAAACAATGCTTATAAGCGGTGCAATAAGTATTTTGTTTATAATTTAAGTTATATTTGAGTTTTCCCTTAAGTGACCCCATTACCCTCTTTTACCCTATGTCTAAAAGTAACAATTACGTTCTTTCAATCCAATGGTTATTATAGTACGCATTCTTTCAGCACAATGATAGAGATCTTTCATAATCTACGTCATTTACGTAAATGCTGATAAGCAGGCTTATCAAATGTTCGCTTGCTCACAAAATACAATTTTATTTATATGTTACTTGTTAACAATCAAATTATGATCAGTCTGATGAGCTTATTAAACACCAGTAATTTTTTCATAAACTTATATTTATTGTAGGATGGAACGGCTAACATTCGAGAGCTAGCAGGAAAGAGCACACTTCAAAAGTGCGTAAGGCTATAAAGACGACAGACATACTTTAAACCAGTTATCATTTAGAGTTTTAGACGTCGGGTGTGCGGGGTTGTTCGAGATTTTACTGGCTTTTATTTTTATTAATAATTTTGATATTTTGCCGATTTTTGTTATTCACATTCATATTCATTAAATTATTATCATCTAACTTTGCCAAAGTCCATTTTATTATTATTTGTATTAGCCCATTCCTGCATTATCTTAACATTTTTTGCAAGTTCTATGCAATCGATAAGTACGATTTAGCTAAAATAAAATTCAAAGCATGAACCAAAACTCAAACAACACTTACACCAAATTATAAATCAGAAAATCGTTTTGAAATTAATATTTTATTTTCGGGAAAATCAGATGCATCAATTGTTGATAACTCGCACAATGTATAAAAATAGAACACTTTAGCTGGCAATAATCAAATCTCTACATGAGAATCATTATTATGTTGATCTCTAAAGTACTTCCATATCAGGTATTTTTATTTTTGTAGCTATAAGTAATAAAATATTTATTTACAAGCAATTGTTAACAGAATATATTTCGTGGAATTGCAATTGTATTAATTGATAGATTACTATTGAGTACTTTTTGCCAATAACATTATTTGAGTTTTTTTATACACACCAAAACACATAGGTATCAAAAGTTTAAGTAATATAAGCTAGCTTATTACTTTGTTTTGCACATATGTCAAAGAAAAAGTTTTAACACACACAAATATAATGTTGTTCAACAATACTAATAAAAGTACTATAAATCAATGCAAATGTGTGTCAAACAAGTGTGCTATTGGAACTTTCAGTGGTCTAAGTACACGTAGCTATCCAGATTAACATCTATTTAAATTGTCATTTTGATTAATTTTTCGTTAATCTGCTATTTTTTTTTTCTTTCTATCAAAAATTGCTCACTCTTCAAACTTTCTTCTGATAGCTTTTTTTAAATCCTCTATTTACATTGTTTCAAGTACACACTCATCCAATCCATTCATCAATCTCTAACATCTTTTATACAAGTTTTACTCCTAATAGCTCATCGCTAAGGCGACATCAAGTCACACCTGTATGCATTGCAAGGTATGACTTTGTAAAATAACCAGAGATATGGTTGTGCCCTTGTTAGCATAATTTTCAAAATCATTTAGAAATAAAGTTGCAACATCAAACCAATCTCGGAGTTGACTTTGCAATGAAAAATTCGATAGAAAATGCATATAATATATTATATGAGTTTATATGTAAGTATTTCTTACTATGTATTTCTACGACAAATTCTCGCCTGTTATTTCGAATATTTCGTACCCTCGTACACACATCCACAATGTTTTTGGATTCAATGCAATTCAAGAGATTACACATTGCACTAAATAAACCTGCTGCAGTGGCACCATTTCTGAGATTGCATCTGATTAAAACTAATCCGGTTAATAATAATTCTATTAAAACTATTAAACCTGTTTAACATACATCGTATTCAGATTGTAGCGATATTATCAATTGTACATTGCTGTCAACCACCAATTTCAAGAAATCGCCAGCAGTGTTTGCTAGTGGATGTTGAGTAACAATATACTTTTTAGTCTGTTGATAACCATCTACAAATAAAGCGTTGATATAATAATAGTCGTCCTCATTCAGAGGCCGCAGGAAAACACAGCATGATGGATCTGGCCTGATATTTTGATCTCGGTTTTTCTCTTCATCGTTGTGATACAAAATAGGACATTCTGGTTGAAGACAGTATACTAACCACATTGACTCCGATATATTTTGCATTTTGACGTGATAACGTCTTTAAAATCGTTTTAGTCGGGTGACATGTTCAGAAACTGTGTCACGAGGCCTCTCGAGGCCGATCGCAGGTATACCCCCCTCTCGTTATAACGAGAGAGAGACGGACCGATCTCCCTTCTCATCTCGAGCGCTGCCAGTCATTCCGTGAAACTTGACACGCGGAATCCACACGAGCGGAGGCAGGCATAGCGTTCGAGTGAGTTGACCGATCTTCCGTCTCTCTCACTCTAGCGGCATACAAACGAATGGAGATTTTCTCGTGCGGTTAAGTTTTCGTTGAATGTTTAACAGTAAAACAAAATGTGAAGTGCAAGTGAAGTGTTACAACAATTGCAACAAACAAAACTTATATCACCAATAAGACGTTATCACGTAAACATCTCGATCGTAAACCTACTTTACAAACAACCATTTTTTTGTGTCAATTTTTCATTATCTAATGTAGAGTAAATGATGGGATAGTATTCACATAGGCATGCATGTTGCGGCATACTACTAATATACTCTACTAAAATAAAATGAGCCAACAAATACTCTTCAACAGTTTCAATGAAATAACAAAAGCAGCAATAAGATGGTCACGGCTCAGTCCTATCAGTTCTATCTGCTACCAATTAGATGATATTTGGTTACCTAACTCATTGACAATCAATATCCCTTCTTCATACAACTTTTCAGTGCAAGTAAATTCAGCCATTTCAAGTATGTTAATATTTAATTCTGTATCTTCAATATCTTTGTATTCCTTGAGCTCATAATGCCCAACTATCCAACATGTTTGGTTTTCTTTAATTGGAACAAGAGAATCGTGAATACTTTCAATATTATCTCTGCAATCACCTATATGGTCCTGTTGACTGGTGAGCACTACAATATACAGAACACTAATTGTTTCAGTGTTTTCAATTGTTGGTAGTAACACAGTGAAATTGTGGCAGTTTATCTGTTTCACAAAGGCCAAAGAAGTAAATGATGGCTTAAGAGTTGGACAGATAAACTGATCACTAAACAATTCGGAACTGTATAGTGAGTTAACGGTTTGTATTGTTACTGTGATATATTAGTTGTAAGGGTCACACTGAAAATGAGTTTGAAAAAATATACGCTCCATATAATTTTTAATATTTTGCTATAAATTATAATTTTACATGAGTTACTTACGAGTACTTGGTGAGTGTAGGTCACATTCTCTAAACCTTTATGAAAAAACTTTTGACCATTTACACTGATTTCAAATCCCAGATAAGTCCCATTTGTTTTATAGAGATGTTCCTGTTCCAAATCTAGAAATTGCGTCGAGTTCCAAGAAGCTATTAGATGTTGTGTTGGTTGTGGAACTGTGTATTATCAAAGTGTATATTTTAGTATTCTTTCATATTTATTGCCACTGTTACCTTTTACTAATGTTGTTCCGCTTAATTCAGTTTCCGATGCTTTGTAGGGTATTCCCTGATTCTGGGCAGCTATTGATATTGTATATGTTTTGTTATATTTTAAGTCAGTTAATGTCAGACAAAACATTTTCGGCCATATTTTACAAAAACTTTGTTGAAATTGTTTCGTTTTGAAATGTGCTTTCGTTCGCGGTAATGTAAGCGAATTGTATTATAAATGAATCTACTTTTCCAGTTGGAGGGTAAGGTGCATTCCATCGTATTGCCACTGTTGAACTGTTGTCTCGGATTAACTATACACATCCGCAAATGGTATTTAATTTGGAACTGAAAATAGAGTTATGCTTATAGTTAACGTAGTATATATAAAATATATAGGGGAAGGTAGCCTAATTTGGACCAGCGCCTAAGTTGGACCACCACGATATCCGCGGACTGTTGAAGTTTGTGCAAAAATAGACTGGCCCCTCGTTTTACTCGTATTTATAAACAATTAATGCAACTATTTGGGTTAAAACTTGCCGCGTGCTTTCTTCGTGGCAACAACTTCGTGTATCATTGATTATCAAATCTATTATAACGACGTAAGTGCAAGAGCTGTCAAGCCGTTTAAACGTTAGTTTTACTGAATATTATATTATCATCAGAAAGCTTCTTTATTTATCTATAATTTATAGTATTAATTTTGAGAGGTTATGTTATATTAAGATTGTTGTTGATCATTATATATAAATTCTTCAAGTTGCCCAAGTTGGACCGAAGACAGACACCGGAGTTTTACAGGGAAAACGTATATCATTTTTTCGACCTCCTAGAAAAGCTTGTGGACGAGCACAAATCTTCGAAATGATCCACTGTATGAAATGCCGCACTTTGGTTTATACAAAATGTGCTTGTGTTACTGCTAAAACTAAAATTTACTATTGTGTCAATTGCCGTTAAAAAACCATGGTCCAATTTAGGAAACCGCGCGGTCCAATTTAGGAAACCGGTTTCTTAATTTGGACCAAAAACACAATTTTTTTAAATTGAAATATGAGGGGTATAAATATAATTTTTACTTAAACCAAAAATATCATTTTGTTGGTAAGCCTTGTGAGTTACTTTTCCGCTACTTAATTTTTATTGACAGTTTACATGTGGCTCTATAAATCAAAAAATATAAAAATGGTCCAAATATGGCTACTCTCCCCTATAAGTATTTCTTACTTTATTTATTTCTAAAACAAAATTTTTCATTAGATTTTTTATATCAGATTACTATACGTAAAACAATTATATTTTTATTTTACCTTGACACCACGAAATTCTGATCAGTCATATGATAGACTTTAATCAACCCAATTAATTTTATTATGATCTAATATCTCACATGTCATTTTTTAAATGATAAGAAATTGCAATTACAAGTTCAAACACAAACAGAGTTTTATACTTAAAATGCTTGCGTTGTCAATACTATTATTATTGATAACTTTCAATTATGTTTTTATACGGGGAAACACAAATCTATTGTTTGCAAATGTTACTGGAAGTGGAGAAAATACCAAAGTTCCTGCAACGTGTGTCAGTGTCCTCTATTCCCCGAATGTATGTGTTTTTTAATACATTCTCATATCTTCATTCTAGTTACACAAATGCCGTTTAAAACGATTGAATCTTTATAAAAATATGTCAATTCAAAAAATTGTGTGTTTGAGACTTTTTTCACTCATCTATATATAGGGTATTCCATGCCAAATCGACCACTTTTAAACCCGACCATTTTTGATTTAGCTGAAACTTTTTCATTCTTTTCTAACCCTTGAGAAACGTTTATTGGAATTTTTTCAAAATTTTTCCCCTAACCTCAAAAAAATGATGAATTTTTCAAAAAAATGACAATTTAATTTTCAAGTAGCCATAACTCTTTCCAAAAAAATCCATATTTTTGTTTTTGAGTAAATTTTTCGAAGAAATAGACACTTTTTTTTTAAATAATTTGAACTATAAAATAATCGCTTTTTTTGAGTAATATTGTAATATTTTCAAAGTTCTACATTAGAAAAAAATATTTTTTTCGTCAAAATAACTTCAATTTTTTTGACAACTTTTCCCGCTAATCCCAGTTCGGGCCGATTATATTATATATTATATATATTTAATTAAAAAGAGAAAAATGTCATTCGCTGGACGTAATTTTTTAAAAATTAAATTAAAAAAAATATAAAATAATATCGACCCACTCCCGAATTAGTGGGAATAATTGTCAAATGAATTGAAGTTTTTTTTAAAACAAGAAAAAGTGAAATTCATAACTTTTTTGAGGTTATGAGAAAAAATTTGAATAAATTCTAATAAACGTTTCTCACGAGATAGAAAAAAATAGAAAAGTTTCAGCTAAATCATAAAAGGTCGGGTTCAAAAGTGGTCGATTTGGCATAGAATACCCCATATATAAAGGAAAGTCGACTTAGTTACTACATTTATAACTAAAGAACGGCTAATCCAATTTAGCTAAAAATTGGTGGAGAGGTAGTTTGAAGAAGGTAATAGGATAATTTTTAAAGTGAAAAATTCTTTAAAAGGCACTAAACGACACTAAACAAACATATTCGCTTATATGGTTTAGCCTGCGGGAAAATATTTTTCTATTATCTCCGTCTCCTCTTTGTGCGATGCTCTCTATATTCTATATATATTCTATATAGATAGTATGGCTCGACTTCGTGCTCCTAAATCACAAAAACAAAGCCAGGCGGAACAAAGTTTGCCGGGTCAGCTAGGAATAAGTAACTGAAATTCGACACACGCAAGACTTTTTGCAGTATGTGAATTGTGGAAGTCAAATTTGACATTTATATTAACTTAGCATAGTAATATTGTGGGCTGCAAGACGAATTTCCTATATGCTAATACGAGTATTACGTTCAGTGGAGAAAATGCAAACATACAAGCAACGTGTATCAGTGATGATTACAACGATGCAATTGCGTTGATTACACCCAGTGGCGGATTATGCTTCAGTGGGGCCCTAGGCGCAAATCAAGTTTGTGGCCCCTAAATCCGAAAATTTTCAAAAACGGTTATTAGCCCAGTAAAATTAATAGTTTTAGCGTACGGGCGCCGCAAAGTCTACTTCAACATTCGTTTGTGCCAAAAACTCATTTCCATACCACCATGAGGTAGAGTAGGTACGTGGCGCGTTTTTTTATCGTGGTATCCCCAGTAGGCCTAATCCACACGCTCTATTCCAAAATTTAATGGATTATCTTCTATCTATCATCGTGTATCAATTATTCTCTTGATACTTTTAGAATTCTTATCCTTCATGCATTCATTTAAAATATTCCACCGTCTTGTAGATGCAGCAAAGAAAGTTATATATTTTGCAAAAACATAAAATAATTTACACCACCACAAAATAAATTCATAGAACAGTTGCCAGGTAATCATTATAATCTTAAATAATAAATCGTAGAAATACAATTTGAAATTATAACCAATAAGACTTGTGAATTTGTGAATTTTGATTGGGCAAATATGATATGGTCTGCGGAGCCTGCGTATAGAGGATTATTTGGTCCAGTTCTCGATTATACATGGGAAAGTAGATTATTTACAAATCGCATTTTGATCATTTTTATCATTTTGTTGGTAATCCTTGTGAGTTACTTTTCCGCTACTTAATTTTTATTGACAGTTTATATGTGGCTCTATAAATCAAAAAATATAAAATGGTCCAAATATGGCTACTTTATTGCTGACACGCAAAAAACAAAACCGGTACACATGCACCGACGTGGACGATTTCCTGCTCCAGTAAACCGACGAAACCCTATTTATTTTTATATGCGGTGGACATGTGTTCATGGCAATTACATGGTGTTCACTCACATAATACATAGAGATGCGTAAACTCTTCTTTGTTCTATTTATGATAAGCATTGAAATGACGTTTCATTCAATGCGTAAATTAATGGAATCGAAATACAAATTAACACGTGTTTGAATAATTAAAACAAAAGGTAAAGATAAAAACCGGTGAATCTTTGTTTCAGACAATTTTCCCATACATGGTGATTAACTTAAATGGCAACTAAACCATTAACTGAGTGTAAATTAAGTTTTTAAGTACAACAGACTATTTATGATAAACTATTCTTTGCAGCTGTGAGCCGGTTGATTGTCTGATAGATAGCATATGGACGATATTGATTGCATTTTCCGCACCGTGATTTATTGTTTTAAATTTAGACTTACATTTGCATGATAATATAATCGCTGTCGTTGCTGGCATGAATTGTAAATTTTGATAGTATTTAACTTTATATTTGAAATTAAAGTTTAAGGTATTACTAAACGCCTCAAATCTTCTGTTTTTTTTCGCTTCGGATTTCTGTTGATTATTTTATAATTTTTTACGAACGTATTAGAAGTTAATAAGAAGTATTTATCGTTGGTATTTATTTGAAGGTCATACAATTACCAACCGAGGCAATTCATTGATGAAATCGTGCCGAACACAACGAATTATTATCTTTATGCTTTGTTTTACTGCATTTCATTAATTTTAATAATCCTGTTTGTTTTAGCAATCGCGAAGTCAAAGGCAAACTGTTTATTGGTAGATGATATCGAGCGCAGAAGAAGATGGCTTCCGGAAGAAATCCTGCTATATCATTTTTGGGATGATAATTTATAACCGCTGCTGACTTTGTGATGGGCGATGTATGTCGCCGCTAATCTTAATTTAAAGATGCTGCTGTTCAAACCAAAGATAAACGTAAAGAGTAAGTTATTAATCAGCAACAGCAAAAATAATACGAAGGTAATTTTGTAAATTTCCTTTCCAGATAGTTGAAATACTGAAGCTTTTAGGCCTGTGGGATGTCGTAAAGTAAAAACCAAAAACCTATCTGGAGGCCAACGTAAGACATTGCGTTAAGTACTTAAAATCCTCAGGTGATGTTCTTCGATGAACCAGCCAGGTAAAATGTTTATATTCCTCCATAAAACACTGTTATAATTAATTTTATCTGTATTTTAGTGGTTTAGACAGTTCCACCACCAAACAATGCGTCAGTTTACTAAAACAACTTGCACAAGAAGGCAAGACAGTGATTTGTACAATCCACCAACCAAGTGCTTCGGATTTTCGAAATGTTTGATCATATATGCCATATCCGACGGGCGATGCATTTATCAAGGATCCATCGGGTTGATACCATATCTTGAAGAATGTGGACTGCAATGTCCATCTTATCACAATCCAGCCGATTACCGTACGTTTACAAGAAATTAAAACTAAAGATTTGGGCCGAAATTCATTGTTTTTTGATTGTAGTGCTTGAGGTAGCAAACGGTGAGTATGGCTCACACACGGAACACTTGATGGGGAAATCTGAGAATGGTTTTATGCACGGATTGGAGGAAGAATCAGCGAGAGATACAATGCAGATTCAATCACTAGAACATGTTGGTAAGAAGGGTAGAAAGCAAAAACACAGTGTTATGTACTGACTGAATAGATATTTTAGAAAAATGGTGCAAAAGTGGTCTTTTGACACCAGTAAAGTGCTACCATCTTCAAATGTCTTTCGATTTTCATGGTACAACACAGCACGGGACGCTGCGAAGTGTGGGGGGCACCTCCACCAGCGGAAATTCCAACTCACATTGCGATAACAGCTATTCAACGTCATTCTTTTACCAACTCATGTGTTGCCAAGAGGACATTCCTTGTGCTCGGTCGCGATCGTACCCTCACTTATTCGCGCATCGCCACACACGTCGCCATTGCCCTCTTCATCGGCATTTTGTACTCGGGTATCGGCATGATGCGAGGTAACATGCTCAATAATTTCAATTTTATGTTCTTCACGGTCATGTTTTTGATGTTGACGGCTTTCAATTGTGTTACAACAACATGTAAGTAGGAATTTAAACAAAATTAGGTAATTAAATAGAATATAATATTAATTTTTATGTTGTTTTTAGTTCCATCGCAGTTACCAATTATAGTAAAAGAACATTTTAACCAATGGTACTCATTGGGTGCGTATTATTTAGCGGTGACGTTTGCTGATATTCCAATACAGGTAAAGTTTGTTCCCAAAAGTTTAGTTTTATGTTTTTATATGATATTTATTGTAGGCGTTAGCTACTTTGCTCTATGCTGTAATGACTTATTTCATGACATCTCAGCCGTACGATGCGTACCGATTCCTGCTGTTTCTAGTCATGTGCATTCTCATTTCGCTCGTATCTCAAAGTTTTGGTATGGTTATCGGCGCCTCAATGGATGTCAAGGTAAATAAACATCATTTATCAGTTAAAAACCGTTCTAATATGAATTTTGTTATTGTGAAATTTTAGAATGGTGTTATTTTTGGACCGTTCTGCTTTTTGCCATTTGTAATCTTCTCTGGATTCTTTGTCCAGCTGAGCAAAGCTCATCCGTACATGCAGTGGCTGTTTCACACCTCTTTTCTAAAATATAGTTTTGAGGGTTTGATGTTAGCGATTTTTGGCTATGATCGCCCCAAACTACCCTGCGAATTAGAGGATTACTGCCATTTTGTGTATCCGCAGCGCTTCCTCGAAGAAATGGACATGAGCCACGCGAGCTACGCATTTTCGGTGTACTTCCTCTTGGGACTAGTGCTTTTTCTAAGAATTTTAGCTTTCCTTGCTCTTACAATACAAATTCGTAGGAGGAGATGATAAAGGTTTCAAATTTATCTTTATGTGATGCTGAAGAGAACTATTTGTGTTCATTTTTTATACATATGCTATGGACATTGAAAAGAAAAGAAATCAACGCACAAACAATTGCAAGATTTGGTAACTTTATGCAACTTTGAGAATTATATTGTCCAGTTTTGACCATTTATATATCTAAGAATGTAGCTAAGAAATTTTCAAAGACCTAGTACATAAACCATAAAGATAGTTGTGATATTTACAAATTCAACGAGGAAACGTTCAAGGAAACAGACTGATAAAAAAAAGTAACGAGCAATATCCATATGAGTTACAAAAGCATAGTAAACAGGCATTTATCAATTTATAATCGGAAAATAATTCAAAGGAAACAAATGTATTCTAAAAATTGATTGTAAATATTTTCATAGATAGTTTCGTACCATATTATTGATATAAATATCGTGTTGGTCTTTTTTTATGTGATGACATTACCGTCAATAGAATTTACGCGTTTCTATTATTACATCCATCGATTTGATCGATGATTCAATATGAGTAGATAGGGTATATTAATTTTGTATGAAATAGTTGTAGTTATTAACTAGTGAGCAGTCACATGGCCATTCCAATTTGAAGTTTAGTTGTGCAGAAGACAAGGGAATACGTGAATGACACAAAGCAATGAGACAAATAAGACAATATACAATGTGAAATTCACAGATTGTATGATGCACAAAGGGAGATTATAAGAGTATACATATTTATAAATTTATACGATAATATAATTAGTGTTTTTTATTGAGATCGCTGGATGTGTAAGTGTAGAATGTTTAAATTTGTTGAATTATGTTCAATGTTTCGTTAACTTCTACAAATTTATTAGTTGAATTTATGTTTGATTGATTTGACTTTTATTCAAATGAAATAAACCTGTTTTATCTGAGTAAAAGATTTATATAGTGGCAGACACGATTGGCTCTGTTGATTCACTACCATCAATAAACATCCTCATCAACACATCTAAACAAATATTAAATCTAAATAAGTGAATCGCAGCGACATCTTCAGGATGATTTGGCAATTATAGCATGTCATTGCTAAATTCAACGGTAGAGAACACAGGTGATATTATATTGTAATATTTTGTGTGGAAATGAAACAAAAAAGTGTTGTTGTTGAAGGTAAGTAAGAAACGTGAATGTTTACATTTTATTATTTTGCTTTGTATCGAACGCAACCGTGTTACTATTTCACTGACTTTTAAACTAAAGAATAAAACCTAAACGCTTGTTAATTCTACAATCTACTCGTACTACAATTCAAGATAATTACAATTTCATTACACCAATGGAAACAGCGCACGTCAAACAGTGCAACTAAACTTTGTTTGTTATCTATTCGACCACATATTTTAGTGACTATTAAAGTGCGTTCTAAAGTTCATAGCAATATTTAACATGCAAAAGTAATTACTTAGTCTAAAAAACGTGTAAAACCGTAAATATTTTACATTTTTAACAATCTGCGTCAAGATTTACGCGGTGCATGTCTTAAAACACTGCAAGTGGATTTCCTTTCTCGTTTAATGTGAATATTTAAATGTTTAGGTTTCTTGCACTGTTGTTGAGATCGATGACTCGATATGGTCATTTATACCTGCATAATTATTGCGCGTATCGTTGTACATCTATGTACGGCGTTAAAAACAAGCGGTGTGAGTCAGGAAACGTCTTAGTATGCACACGAAATGCATTCGCGAGGTGTGTAAACATCTTAAAATTGTACAAGTGGCGTGGGACGATGAATTCGCGGCGTTTTATCGATCAACACCTCAATGATTTGTATTTTTTACATTTGTGCGTAAAGAAATAATTAAATCTATTTAATCATCAACCGGATGCTTCTTAATATTAATACATGCAATGAAAACTGAATTAATTAACAATTACAACAACACAGTATGAAATAAAATGGCGGATGAATTTCCGTTGCATATAAATTCTGATGACAGATTTTATACTAATAATAATAACAGGTTATTAATGCATTTTAACAGGTATCATTTTATAACACTGCTAATCAAATAAAATGACTTATTTGCATTTTAAATAAATAGATACTTACACGGTAGACAACTATTGTAAACAAATTGAGCGTATGTGCTATTTTCAGATGTGAAGTACTCGAATATAGGTCGGAAAAGTTCTGGGAAATGTGCAACTCATAAAATATTAATAACTTTTAAACCTGTAGGTTTTACAATTGCAAGAAAATGCAGTTTAAGTCATTTCACAATTGAAAGTCTTTTATATTTATTAGTTTTATTTTATTTAGTTGAATTTACAATTATATTAAATTTGTGCATTGTTTCACAATGGCGGTCGTTGTGAAACCATAAGTTATAACTGAGGTGTAAGAATTAAGTTCTCGAATGAAGACAAGTCACGCAGCAGGAATTTTCCGATTGATAACTGTAAATGTCGGTGCATCCGCGCAACGCACCTAAAAACAATGCTATTATTATTGTTATTACGAACACAATGTAGGTGCATTTGTCATACTGTTAAAATACGTTCTAATTACATCACAATTTAAAAAATTACACAAAATTATAATTGGAAATGATTACGATGTCTTTAAACTTGACAAAAACAAAATAAAAATAGATATATAGGCTTTTTGGTGATGATCTAGAATAACTGGTTGCATATGTAACTAGTGATGCGTTTATGACATGTGGCATCACTGTGGAAAACTTACAACAGTGTAAGAAAACTATAAATACCTTTTTATTTATTTTCTCGTGAAATTAATGTGAAATGAGTCAAGAAAAATTAGAAATAACATAAATCTTCAAGGGATTTACCCGGATATAGGTATTAAATGATATTAATTATCTTATAATAAAAAATCAACCGCAAATAATTTAGTTTTTACTGATGAAATTTAAAAAAAAAATTGTACAAATTAAACCGTAGTCATATTTCTATGAATACTATTGATGAGGCCCCTATACAAAACAAACTCATTAATAAATCACCTCTTTTCCTGTCATCCTACCAGTATTTCTCCTCTGTATGTATTGCAAAACGTAAATATTCAACTAAGGTGTAAAATAGCGTGATAACTAAAGATTCATGTAACACTTCACTGAATGAAAACACATCAAACTCATTCAGTTACCATTTTGCAAATGACAAACATGACATCACATACATCGCAATGGTATCGTCGGTGCGGCGTCGCTCGACGCGGTTCAACACGCGTATAAAAAAGAATTCGCAGCGCGCTCAGCATTTATTTCGTGCGCAAGACTCGTACGCGTCGGACGTGCTCAGTAATCAACGGAACTAACCAAACATACAAACAAGTGCGCAAACGTATCACCGCGTGTGTAATTTAAGCAAGAATTTACGAATTGAATCAAAGAAAGTTATTTGGGCGTAGAAAAAACAAAATGTCCCTGAAAATATTCGCTATTTTGTTCGTGGCTGTTATTGGTGTTAGTCATGCGTCACCAGGTAAGAATTTTAAAAGTTAATATTTAATATTAATAGACAATAAGTAAGCAAGTTAAAGATTCTTGTGAGAAAATCACATTTAAATCTGAATGATAAACACTTTGATAGTTTAATTGTTCCAGTTTGATAAGTAAATTATGCGATTATTAATAAGTGTTATTATTTTTATATGACCTTGAAATGTATGACCTACAATTTTAGTTTATAAATACACTGGTCACCAACGTTTGTATATTAAAAATATTCATCTAGTTTTACAAATTATGTGAATTTAGTTGTGTTTTAAGTCAGTTTGAAGATGAAATAATTTTTTTTTGTTTGATTGTGTCATTCAGTGTCGGTTCACTTGAATATTTGGCGCATTTGTTTGAGATCTTTGAGATGATGCTACCACTGGTAAAAACCCGTTTTCATTACTGCTGGTGCGAACCGAACAGCTTTGTAGTTTGCACGCTGAAAGTTTTGCATTTCACGCGGATGTTTACGAAATGCGGACGTCGCATCGCGAAGAATCATTCTTTCGAAGAATTTTTCGAGGACACAAGTAGGTACATACTTGGAATTGAATGCAGAAAAATTTAAGACGGATATATATAATCAATGAATCAAGATTAATTCAAAAGTAATATTGATATAGCTTTAAAATTGGGACATTTTTTAAACAAATTAATTCCGGATTATTTTTACTGCTATTTTTACTGGGATTATGTACTTAAGCGTCATAAACCTCCTCGGAAGTCTAAATATAGCAGAAAAAGCCCAAAATTCAGTAAATGTTTAAACATAAATTATAAAAAGATCGGACATAACATCCTCGTTAGTAATATGGCAATAATCTGTCCGGTTTTAAAATGCCTCAGGCATATATTTAATTTAGTTATTTGTTTAACTTTCGTTTTTCATTTTATTACACCATATTTGGTATGTCTGCAAATATGCAAAGTAACTTTGGTCAATCAATAAAAAATGATTAAATATAGCATGAGTAATTATTTAATGATTTATTTTTGTTTCACCGTGAAAATAATAAAATTTAAACATGAAATAAGATATGACAATGACCTTTACTCAGACAAAATTGTTTAATTTTAGCTTTTGTTTTCATTCTTTATTGACAAAAACCCGAAAATTTCAATTTGGTCCGTTTTCGGTGAAATGGCAAGAATGTTGTCATAAAATATCGATAAATTCGTGGGTGGTATCAAAATAAGCAGTTAATTTACACAAAATTTGCGGTTTTCAAAAGAAAATTTATGCAAAACACTTATGTTTCTCATTTGTGGTTAATAATTGATTTAATCACTACAATTAACTTTTTTTGCATTTTAAAGGAGATATGTATCAAGTACTTATTATTTTCATCAATTTCCATATTGAATCTTGACATTCATTGCGATTATTGACAATTATGATGTTACATATTACTCAAGCAGTGCATCGGAATATATTTAGTAATAATATGCATATAATTACGCGTAGGTTCTCTTCCTACATACATTCCATGATGACATATCCATGTCTTCAATCTCGTCTCTATAAAACGCACGGTTTTCATTTTCATCTTGCGCAATGTGTTGTTACCTCTGCCAGCAATCACACGCGTAATTATAAATACAATTTTCCAAGTTGACGTAAAACTATCGTCAAGATATCGGAAAATATTGCGCAATTATTCACGTGTTAAATTGCAACAAGTAAAGTGATATCGCCAGTGTTGATAAGAATAAATATTGAAGGTTTTATCGTTGTGTACCACGAATTAAGCGTAATTTATTTTTTAAAATGAGCTATGTTTGGTTTCGCGAACGTCCTCGTTGGCGTCTAATTCCAGTGCCAGGTAAGCGAGAGTTGATAAAATGATAGAAAAATGAAAATGCATTCTAAAAAGCATAAATTACATCGAATAACAACGCTGCAATCATTGCAATCAATGTGTTTAGACGAGGAAATTATTGTGTGCGCGACCTCGACAATGAAATATTCGTAGAACGCAATAAAGTCAAAACCGTAATGAAAACAAAACTATATTTCAAAATATAAAAACATGTAACAATTAAAATAACGATTAAAACAAGTCGTGGTGGATTAATAAAATGTTTATTAAACAATGAAACCATCTAGAAGTCCAGAACTAAAACATGTTTTTAATTATTAAGACGATTATAGTGAATTATCAAAATAAAAAGTGGGTTTCGTTTTGAATTTCGAAGAACTGTGTTACAAACACGACACAAAAGATACGGTGTATTTACCCGATGTAATTAAGTTCGTTTTAATTTCAGTGCTTTAAATTTTAAACGCACACTTTGAGTCGATTTCTGGCGATTAGAATTTTGTTTTGTTCACGCTCGAATTACGCAATCGTTAGTCATAAATCCATTATAGTTAACCTGATTGATACCTAGAAATTGAAAAAATGACCTTTTAAGCGTTTTTCATCCAATAAACCATCATAACAATAATTACAATTGTGTAGGCATTTCATGCTGAACAAACGTAATGCGTTTTACTTTTATTTCAATCGAAATAACCAGGAAATGCCATACAAGTGCAAAAATTAGGCTATGTAAATGAATTTTATGTATGTTTGGTTGCATACCATCAATATCATAGAAATCTTAACTTAAAACTAATTTTATTGTTTAAACAATAAAATAAATCAACTTTTGCACTTGTTACCACATATTATATAACTGACAATCTGTGCTGTGATTGTTGGAGCTTCAGTTTTGTAAATAATTTGCTATGAGTATGTCAAGTTCATTCATTATTCACAAACGTTTCTTGAAAGATAAATTAATACACTCAACGTATCATCGCCGGCGACTGACATAACTCGCCTTCGATTTACGATCGTATTTTCGCGAATGAATCGCCTTGCGCTTGGCTTTGAATTGCAAATTGCGCGGCGTCAATTGGAATTGTTTCTGTGCTCTGGGCATGGCGGAGTATGGCGAGCACGTATCATTGATTTAACGGTCTATTAGGAAGTCCACGGCGCATCCTCGGCCGCGGCAGGCATTCGTTTTATTTCGCAATTTGTCCGACCGATCCTTAATAAATTTTAATTTCGCTCGCGAATCGATGAGTTGGCACACATCCTGTTTGCGCATAATTGACTTACTTATGACTTTGAGTAAATTGGGTACTTTGACTTTGGTACTTTAGAAAATTTCCACCGTTTGGATATATTTAAAATTATAAACACAAATTTATCTCAAGCAAAGGTTATGAAATAAATATAAAGTCATGGGTGGTACAAAAACACTCAGAAAAAGATTCTCGCAGGTAATTTACAGAAAAATTGACTTTTTTTAACAAGAAATCAAGTTTTTGTGTCAAGAAAATTAATATTTTTATATTCTTAAAATGTAAATAAATAATTAACTAAAGCGTAACTTGGTGCACATCCAAGTCGTGACCTGATGTTAATGATTTAATTAATTATCCAGACACTAGAATGCGATTTATAATCTGAAACACGTTTTTTGCATTAAATAACACTAAAAATAGACGCAGTGTTTACTTAAAAGTGTTTTTTCTTAGTAAATAAAGTAAATAATTACATGTTCAACTCGTCAAACCACTATGCATCTACAATATTTTCATTTTCAGCTTTTGATTCCGATGAAGTCGAACAATTCAATCCGTTTGGTTCGGGACGTTCAGTTCGCCCAAACCGATTCGATGGTGGATTCGGCGACTGGGGCATCTTCGCATTGCCTGACTTTAGCGCATTTCAAGGTATACACCTTAAACATTTTATTATGTTTCCTACGCATGTACAAACATTGTTTTGCCTACATTTTATAACTTCATTTTATTCGAGCGAAAACAATGTGCACGTGATGTTACCATGTCAGTCAGCGATTAGGCAAATTAAGTAAAATCATAAAAAAATACATTACTGACATGATACGCAGGTATAACATGACAGCGTCTATGAATATGGTGTCCGCTGCCAAATATGCATCGATTTGAAGGACACGTGTTGATTTGCGCGAAGGAAATGCTAAACGAAACGCAATTACTCGCCGAAATTGCGTATGTGGGCAATTGTAAGACCCACGCATTGACTTAGATGAAAACGCGATATAAATACAAAATCGATTCGATTGCACATTCAGTTGCTGCGAGAATTGCATTTCAAGTGCACTTAAACTCTTAAATTTAGTTAAAACGAACAAATTTTGCAAAAAAAACAAAATGTCTCAAATATTCTCTTGTTTTAAGTGTATGTTGAGTTGCATATCTTAAAATGTCACTTACTAAAGAGTTATAATCATGTTTTAGATTATATAAACCGTATCAGAGCCAGTATCGCAGCCACCATTGCTGGAGCAGGCCAAGGAATTGACCTAAGTAAAGGCAATACTACATCAGAAACCAAAGTATGTTATACACTGTAGAAACACATAATTATCACATATAATATCAATATATTTATAGATCATTGATGGAAATCGTGTAACAGTCAATCGCACTGAATACAACGAAAATGGCGTCCATGTTGTGGTGAAAAACGTCGAAGTAAAACCAGTTGGCGATAGTGGCGAAGACGTAAACAGCGCTAATCCTACCGGATCTACCCCAGCCACTGGTACCACTGGTACTTCCGCCGGAAGCACTGCAGCGCCACGTGAGGATATTGAAACGTTCGGAGAGGGCGACAACGAGGTTCGTCCACAAAAGTTACAATCAACTACTTCTCCTTAAACTAATATTTTAATTTTTAATCCTTTTTTTGTCTTGTTTTCCTTAAAAACTATCCAAACACCTTTTTGAAAGTATAATATATAAGACGTATGCGGACAATGCATGATTGTTTAGGAATTTAATAATAATGAGAATGATTTTATAGTTTTAACAGTTATTAATGCCATAATTAATTTGTTGATTGTATTTTATTGATTAAAACATTTTCGAGATTAGGTTATTATGACGCGACGTTTAATTAATAGATTTTTAATGTTTGTTATAATTAATCGTAAATATGGTGTTGGGTAAACTCTTTTTAACTAAAAATGCTTTGCTTACTAACATATTAACAGTGAATTTGCTTTAATTCATAATTCATTTCATTCACTCACAAAATCAAGAAACTCTTCATTATATTCACCCAAAATGACTATTAATCAGTCAATTAATTCATTGTTTCTGTGCAATGCACTGTGTTTTTCAACGCACAAAATCACTCATTTTACAGCTGGCCAGAAGCGTTGAAAGTCTGGAAATTTGGGACGATATCGACTCTCATAATAACATCGAAATTGAAACTCTGGACAAATTTCCAATCGAAGCGGATTTAAGCAACGACATCAACGTCAACAAAAATGCGAACAAACAATACAACGATGAAGATGTTGAAGAATTCGATGTGAATTCTATTCATGAAACACCCAGGATCAAAACAAACGAAGATAAAATGCAAAATATGCCTTTGAAAGAAAATGTTGAAGTTTTTCACGATTTGAGCGGTGATACATACGTGAATGATTTGTTAGCACGCAAAATGGCGGCTGAGAACTGGGGACACCATCAAAAACAGCCAATTTCTTACCAGGCTCGTCCTTATCATGACTTAAGTCGTGATACTTACGTCAATGAAATGGCAGCGCGACGTGGCATGACAAATAATCCAGACGCTGAAGAATTTCCAATCAGATATCAAGCTTATCCGTATCAGGTGTTTCCTGCTGATGTTACTAGCTATCGCGATTTGAGTCGTGACACTTATGTGAATGATCTTCCTGCACGTCAAGGTGTACCGAAGAATCCAGACGCAGAAGAACTTGAAGTTGAGTTGTTGAATCCCGCCGAGTTTAGTAACAACGCGCTGAGAAAACGGCATTCGTAGAAAATCGAATATACGCGATGTTATTCTTAATTTAAAACAAATAGCGGTACGATCTGTGTCCTGTGATATGACGAGTGGAAAATCGAAAAACAAAAATAATCGAAGCATCATCACACATTTTACATTTTAGAAGTAGATAGTACGCCTATGATTTTATTTATAATCGAGCCTCATCTTTATTACATTAATAAATAATTAGATTAGCCGCGTATTTATTTCGTGTATTTTTTCATTGTTTAGTTCTAGTTGTAACATTTGATGTTTGAGATTGTTGACGATGAGGAAACATCGAATATTCGATCAATATTTATGTGTAATTTTAAGTTTGACGGGTTTGTAATCTGAATAAAACAATTTTTTATGGTAAATTATTGTTAATGGACCTTCTTATTTACATATCCGAACTAGAGTTTTCCCTAGATTCAGAATTTTCAATCAATTCATCTCTATCTTTTAGTTTATGTGATAATCGCAATTGAAATATCGAGAAAGTGGGGAAATCTTTGAATAAAATTTATTTTCTAGTTATTATAATTAATTTTCTCTACAAACGCAGAAAACAATCGTTTTGATTAATTAAATAATTGTGTTCAGTTTGTTTAAGCATACAATAAAGAAGTTAATAGATATATTTCTGCACCTAAAATTATTCAGACACTTAAGAAACCAATGCAATTTACAGATAACGCCGTCAATAAAGATCAATTCAGGACGCACCAATAAATAAACATGTTATTTCATAGAATATGTTGTTATTTTTATTCATAACCTACACAAAACTAACATTATAGTAAACACAAGTAGAAAATTATCTTAAACTTAATTAATAACAATTATAAAAGTGAGTGATGAATTACCGTTCCTCCAGCAGACAAAAAAGTAAGTAGTACTAACGCTAGTTTACATAATATAAGTGTATATAATACTCTAGTTTAGAATATAAACTTAAATAACTGAATAGAAACAATACTTTGCAAGATGTTAATAATTATAGAAAATATTAAATTGGCACTTGACTTTAAAAGCTCCGGTAACATTAATTTATAAAAACTTAGCTAATTGAGAAATATTTATCAAAGAGTCATAATTACAAATATTACCAACTTTAGCAACAACTTTGTCGCTTTCTTTTCCGACGAAAAGAATAATTTCGTACCTATATTTAGAGGCAGCATATTCACTGACCTTTACTTGTTTAACACTGAACTGCAACGTCGGTGAAGTATATGATGATGATACAAAGAACACATTCGATCTGTACACAATATAAATACAAGTGGGTATGATAGTACCAGTGGTAATCGACAAGATATGCGTCTCAAAGTTTTTACAAAAGTTATCATGTTCGAGTAAGTGATCTAAAAAGTTTTGAATTTTATATGGCGATGAACAAAACGTGCATTTACCAGTTCGAAATTGGCACATCTCATTGTGCTGTTTCCTTTCCCTTATTTTCATGAACGTCATGCAGCCGTCATCAAAATTCTCACATGGTAAATCATAAGTTGGCAGTACATGATTTAAATTTAGTTTCTGTTTAACAATCTCGCAACGACAAACTGGACATGTTTGTAGTTTTGATGCACAAGAGTAACATATTGCATGATCACTTTGACAAAGCTTGATTTCACCCAGTAAATGTTTCAAACAAACTGGACAAGTATTCAAATCAATTTTGATTAATTCATAGTCAGTTAGATACAAAGTTATTTTTGAATCTGAACTAAAAAATGATGATTCGAGTAATAATCCTTGATCAATTGCCTTATCATCAAAAATAGATGACATAGGTATTACCATTCCATCATTGAACAGTGTTTGCTTTCTGGCATCTTGATGGATTATTTTATAATTCATCACTGCAGGATCATAAGCATTAAAATGTTTCATCACTTTGATTGATACAGTATCATCCATTGGTTTAATAATCACAATAAAAGTGTTTGTTTTATAATGGGCAACAATTATAACTGTTCCTTTGTTCAAATGGGTTAATTCAATTGGAATACTGAGTGTTTCCAAGGTAATTTCTTGTAAATCACCATGAAGTTTTAAATGCTCTGTAAATTCCACAAGATTGCATATTTGCCCTTCAAATGGGCATACTACACTTGGTCCATGTAGGCACTCCTTGATATGATCATGAAATTCACCATATGTGCCCTTGAATGCACATTGTTCAAGCAAACATGGGAACTGTGCATTGCTTAAATGGTTTATGAGTGGACTTGCAGCCATGTAATATGCTTTAGGTCTTGGGTTGCATAGCATTGCTCACACAGATTAGCATCGTCGCCATCGTGGCTGCCATCGTAACAGGGCGTGTAGATTTTGTTTTTGAACAATTCTTTGCAGTTAGAGCAAAATAAATCGTTTATTTTGAAACTAGCTTTGTTGAGATAATTGAATTCAGTCACATAGAAACTCTGTTCTTGCATCATGAAGAATATCTGTATGTTATTAATAATATGTAATCTATGGTGTTTGAGAATATTAAGATAAATTCAGATATTACCTTGTTTAATTGGTGATCTCGGAAACTTCCAACACGTTATCGAATTGATTATTCTGAAAGCTTCGGTCACAGAGAAAATGGTGAACCACAAACTTGAGTATCTCGGAGCGAAATGGCTCGTGGAAGTGGCGGTAAAGCACGTAAAGCTGACGAGGAGTATTTTAAACAAACGATCTTTAACGAGTGGCAAAACGCCTACTAAGGCCAGAGAGAGAGGATCTTTAACGACAATTAACGATTGTAAAATGATACATCATCATTTCTTATCAATTCGCATACTAACGAACAAAGAGCTAGTTAACCGAAGTGAATTCAACTAAATGTCTAGATTTGTTAAAAACAGTAAATAAATGTAACTTTTAATCCTACATACGCAATTTTACAACAATTCATGAAAAGATAAGTTAATAATAACAACGCGGTAAAATAAATAGCATTAGTAATTACTACCCGCTGTAAATTGGATATAAAAAAAATAATAAGTTATTGTGTTCTCGGTATAAGAAATTATTTTTTTATTAATTACAAATACAAGCGACTTAAATTTCGTCTTGTACAACGGTGGTTTTCTCAGAAACGTACAGACCATCCAAGAATTTACGGATATCCTTGTTCTTCACCGACGTCGACTGTTGAATGAGAGCCGCCGATCGGGAAACATCCTCCAGCGAGTTGCCCTCGAGAACAAGCTCGTCCTTTTGCTTAGCGGAGTTGGAGACAGTCACGCCCGGTGCCATCTTAACGCGGCGAATGTACTTCTCTCCCAAGAAATTTCTGATTTCAATGACAGAGTTGTTTTCACTTGTCACACAGTTAATTGGGAAATGGGCATATACCGCACGCATTTTGTATTGGTAACCCTTAGTTACACCTAGTAAAAATTAAACCATTGATTAGGACACAACTTTTAACATCATAGGTATTGAAAGGGTGGCAAATGCTTACCTTTCAACATGTTTTCAACATGAGAGCACACTGTGCGGACGGCCGCCAATTCTTTCTTGGTACCAAACCATTTCTCAACTTTTAACAGCTTGGGGTTGACCATACGAATGTCCAATGCCAAATGTTTGAAGCAACGCTTCAGGGTGCCACGGGGTCCCTTCACCGTGATCATGCGGGACTTGGCTGTGACTGTAATCCCATCAGGGATGGTTACAGTTTGATTTGTAACAATTTGCTTCATTGTGCTAAAACAAAACAAACCAAAATGTTAGCACTTGTTTTACACTCACAATACTTGCACAATTATTAAACACTGTGTTCGTAAATAATCCCAAAACGGCCACTAATTTTAATAACAAATTAATACGAAAACAGTTCAATGATACCGAAGTAAACATTGGGTGACATGTAGTCTAACCTACAACAGCAAGTTATTTTATTTATTACAAACAATTGTCGCAGCAATCGCAAAAAATATGAATGCAAATCGGTGTAAAATTAAACGTAGCATCGTTTCGTGAAGTATTTTAGGCATTATCACTTACGATATCACAGATGTTTTAAGAATAAAATTTGTGTTCACCACGAACCTACCTTTCACGTTCGCGTTTAGAAGCGGAAGAGGCTCCGACCAGATGACATACGACTGTCAAAAGTTTTCTGGCAACACTGTCAAAATTCATTGGTTTGAATTTTCTCCATTTTACACAATTCTAAACATTTTTAGTTGATTAAAATATTTTATTTAATTTTTAAAAGAAAAAGCATTCACAATAATAAAACATTTAGTAGTAGTTTTAGCATTTTATGTTTTAAATTCATATCTAAACATTAAGATAGAGGAAATTGTTTTAAAACGTGCTCTATTTTATTAAACTAAATTTTACAAACTTTATTTTATGTAACTATATAAAAACTGTGATTTTTTTGAAGAATTAATATTTACAGTATAAACTTTTTTTGAATTTTGTAAGCGTTGGTAACAGTTTTAGTAATTTATTCTTGTGGCGTTTAAGTTGGTAGCGTTCAAGGTTACATTCCGTAACGGTTCTTTCCAACGCTAGGCGTCTCTCATCCTGTAGCCACAACGCGCGCAACAAATTCTTGCGCGCAATGCTCGAACAAGTGGGGGACAACCAGTTTCATAGAATTCTGGTCGCATTGTTGTGTCGCCGCGTCTCGCGAACGCGTTAGTTTGTGTCGGCGGAGCTTCTACGTTCGTCGTTATTCTGTTTTGTTTACGTTTTTTACTATCTCTCAGCATGTCGCGGAATGCGATAACAACGAAACAATAACTTCGTCAGTTCGTTCAATTCAAAAACGTTTCGACGCTTCGAAATTTCAAAATCGCGCGTTACGATTGTCTTAAACTCTTGTGTTCAACGGTTATCTCGCTTATTGGATTATCGCAAACAAAAACAACTAGCAAAGTTATTCAATAATTTACAAAACAAAAAACAAATTGTAAACGTGTTAAGTCGATGTGTCATGGTGTAAAAACGAATTTTTCGAAGCTTTTTCGATGTTTGTAAGTTGAGCGCGCTGTGCATTGTTGAATTTTTGTGCATTGTGCATGTGTTCTATTGGAAGTTGCGCCGGGGTGCTGGAGTTTGGATTGTTCGCTCGAGTGAAGGAAAGGAATTCGGAGAAGACCCGCAAACGGCTTTACGGTGACGTTGTTTTGCGTGCCTCGACAAAAACGATCATCTCAGGGCGAATGCGTGAGTTATTTCATTGAATATAATTATATGCATCAGTACAAACATCTTCTGTGATTTTCATGAATCCACAAACAATTTATGTTATTATTCAGTCATCATGATAAGCAGCTGAACAAAGATTTAAATATTTGTATATATCGACATTCAGAGCGGAAATTGCTTTTTTTACTGATAATTTTGTCAATAACCTGATAAAATAGCAAGTTATAATAGATTTAACTGCAAAATATGCTCAGTAATTAGTGGAATATTCGACAGTTATTCAATTAGCACCTGAAGTACACTTTTGGCATCACCAACAGTAAAACAAACAGAATAACATGACAATTCACTGTTTAAACATTCGAATTGCGCTTTCTCGTTACAAAGTTTACGGTTTATAAAGTAGGTAAAGTGTTTAAGTAGGTAGAGCCACATTTACTTAAATGATTACTTAATTTAAGGCGGTTTAAATGTACGGTTGGGGCAAATTTTTATTCAAAATTACATACTCTCAAATTTTCATTTACAAAACTTTAAATAAAAACGAAAATTTTCTGTGTAAAAAGCAGTAACTTGAATTTTTCGGTTAATTATCATTTTGACATTTATTCGGGAGCAAAAAGATGGACGTGTTCCTTGATGATATCATGCAGAGATTCACCGCAGTTTGGGACTTGCTCCAAGCATAAATTCAAATCGCAATTTTCTATAAATTGAATAAAACATTACAAAAATCACTCAAATTTTATTTTTCAACATTACTTACGATGATGTTTAATTCCATGAAAGTGATAGTGTTGCTGGGGACATAACGTTGCTTTTGTTGGAATGAAAATTTGGCTCAGAAGCGAATACGAATAGATGCCGATGAAAGATACTAAACTGCCCATATTTTCGGAATTTAGAAAACGAACCAAATGACATTCTGAATTTGACAATTATTAATACAAATAATTTTTGTTTAAATAAATATTCAGCAAATTGTTTGCTCAGGAGTTAAACGTCTCTATTTAACTTGTTAGTGTTTGGGGCATTGGAAGTATGCATTAGGAATGTATTTGTTATGCAAGCGAGTCATCCGAAAAGGGCACGCAGCAGGCAATAATAGGCAAGGAGCACTTTGCGGAAGTCACCAAGTTAAGTTGCCCTGCAATTCGCATCATGGCTTCAATTCAATTGTTTCTCTCACAAGCTAGGGAGCGAACGCAGACTGTGGCGCACTCCGGAATTTTCCATTACATTAATTCCAATTCGATGTAATTTAATTAAATTAACTCAAAGACACTTCTCTACAGTTTGAATTTATTTTCTGCACTGTATATTGCAGAACAAGCATAAAATATGGCGTAATATCACCATGAAGACGTTAAATAAATGATATAGTTTTATTTGTGTCGACTTTGAATGCTTCGTTATGTTTGCTCAATTTGCTGACATGCAACTTCCTTTTACTCTACTTTTTAAGATCAGCAAAATTCAAACTAGAAATCAATTAATCTTGTTTTTAAAAGGATATCTAAAGTTTCCTGTGGACATAGTACAACAGGAAGTGCAATTGCTTCATAAACTTTGCTTTATAAAGTTGTGTTTGTGTTTACCAGCGGCGATTGTTAATTAATCCGTGGAAAAAAAGCGATGATGCAACCCGAAGGTGAGTGTGAGGATGCATGGCTCGATAAACGTTTATTAAAGACGTTTTACGTCGTTCGATTCGAATTCAGGCAGGATGCTCAAGCAAACCGCTAATGAATAGCCAGTATAGAACCGGTTTTTCTCTTTATTTGTATTTTTTTAAAAATACAATAAACATAAATAAATCAAAACATTTATTATTTTCAAATAATGTTAATGAATGTTTAGAGGCTTTAAATCTAATTTTCATTGCGATTTCGCTATCTGCATGCTCGTAAAGTGAAGATATTAATAACTTTACGAACACAACGCCCGACATTTTGCTCGAAATCTACGCCGTGGTTTATATTATTTATTTATGTTAAATACCTTTGTTTGTGAGGAAGTTTACGTTTTGTTTCTGCTTCCTTAACGCCATCCGGAAGTGGTATTTATGGTGCTTTCTGGAAGGCATCTCGTGTCGCAGCACGCTATCCACGTGGGGCCACGTGACGCGTACTTGGTACTTGCTCTTGTTCTCCTATGCGCGCTTTTACTTGGACACGCAATTTATTTATGAGCTGGGAGAGCTATTTCGGTCAAGCCGTGTGTACAAACGGGTAGGTAAAGTACGACATTTCCGCGGGGAAATTAAAACATTTCGCGTGACACGCAAAGAAGTTACACGTTGGCAAATTGGAAAATGATTAGTTTATTAGATGGGATGGTTTACTGCTACATTTATTTACACGCAATCAGGGAAATTATGCAGGAAAAAATGAATACTTGTTTTATATAATTTTTAACTGCTGGAATTTTTATTCTAACAACTCTAAATCATGATTAATTGACACCAATTTATTCATCACAGAAAATAAGCTCATAATTTGTATAGATAACTGCAATTTATATAACAAGCTCATTGCGCTCACCAGTTTGATAATGCCGAGCTCATCTATTACTTAATCAAAGTGTCAAACAGCATTAACTGCATTAGGCGCATAAACAAACATGAAGTGATGAAGTACTTTCGAATTAATTTATTTGGACCTTCAAATCATTCACGAAGAAAAATAATATTATCATTATGATTCATCTGAAATCAATCTATATCCGTATCCTTGAGATTATTTATTATTTGAGTGATTTTTATGTTTTAACCTTGATTTTTTTTATCATTTTTAAGCAAAAAATGATTTTTTTTTGTATTTATACAAGATTATTTTATTTGGCAAGTAAAAATGTTGTTATTATTTGCAGAATTTTGCAAATAATGATAAAAAATCGATAGTTATTCAAATAACTTTTTATTTGTGCTTGAAATACGAATCTTCGTGATAATTCTGTTTGTGTGAATAATGTAAAACGAAGCATGAATCAAAACGCAATGAAATTCGATCAAACGTAAATCGAAAATTTTAATCACACTTCTCCAATTCCCTCTTTTGATCTATGCCATTTCTAGCGATTGTAAACCGAAACCGTCTCACGTTTTATTAAACAAACACACGTAACCCACCGATGAAATCATCGCCATTTAAACGAATCCTACTTAAACCCGTAATCTACAATTTGCTCGGCGTATAATTCGATTTTTAATTGTCTCTGCGAGGATCTCATCATTTCGACTTCAATTGTTTCATTTATCTCGGTTTCACGTCATGTTCCATTCAATTTCCTATCTTGTTCGACGTGTTTGTTTGGATGTGAATCGTGGTGATGAGTGCGTTACATCTTAATCATCATCGCAATCTCGATTTCGACCATAGAAGACAATTATACGTGCGATGTAAGTACGGAAAAGTAAAAGTTACAATTGCACAGCCACTGACAATCATAGATGTGAGTCTAAGCCTTGCACAATTGTAGGAAACTTTCAAAAACTTATAATTTTCAAGCATATTAGCTCAAAAGAAGAGCAATGTGTGTGATTTCACTTTTATTCTTTTGTGTACTTTTACGGTAATCATTCGGTAACAGAATGTTATGGATAATTATATTTTTTCGGTTTTTTCACTTCCCAGAATAATTTTACAGAGATTTATTTTGTATTTTTGGTTGATTTAAAGCGTGATTAAACGTGAGAAGTACGCGCAATTTTGATTGTGATTCTATTTTGACACAAACATTATAATTATATTATTAGCATTATAAACATTGTAATTATTCTGGTCGAAAATGTTGGTACACAATAGAAAAATGCATGAATTTGTGTATTTTATTTATCGCATGTGAAACTGGTTAAGAAATTTGCGAAAACTAACATTTAATATGAATTTTGGTCTTTAAATATTGCGTATAATAATTGTGTTGTCATAACGCAAGTAGTTATTTAATTAAATCTTGAAAGTTGTTTTTTTATGGAAAATATTAATTTTGCTTATAAAATTTATCAAAGTTTTAGTTTTTTGTTAATTAGTTAAAAACTAATGAAGCTAAATCAATTATTTTTTCAGTAATTTATTTACTATTAAATTCGGCATGTTTTAGTGCAAATATTAGATTGTTATCAATGTTTTATCAGATGATATAGGCAAATTTAATAGCAATTTTATGATTTTCCACTACATCAAACTTTAATTGTTTATAACTTTTTGTTTACTCGTTCGATAAATCAAATCTTTACACTCTTTGAAGTAGAATTTAATTAAGAATCTACTCCTTAAAGAATCACAATGTTATCGTAAATATTTCTCAAGTTATTAACAAAAAACCACGAAATTCCAACTTAAAACTTGAATATTTTTGAAAAATTTTGTTTCTAACTTCTAATTTCAAGGTAAACCACATAAAAGGAAGTCTTCTATCCATTTAATTACGCCGGTTAATTATTTCTTTATCGCCTATTGCGTTCGTGGTGATTCCATGAAGTGAATTTCGAATTTCGAAAATGGGAAACATGTCGGGCACGTCTCAAAACGGTCATAAAACGCGATTGGCGCGGAAATAGACGAGCAAAGCGTGCGTTTGAACGCGCGCTAAACGTTTATAAGGAATCAACGCAATGGAAGCGCATCTAACGTCCATAGAGTCTAACTTTACAAAAGGCGATATTGCAAAAAATACTGGCGAAAGAAACGCGCAACGCGGTAGAACTAGAATTTAATGTGACATAAGTGTCAATGTCACTCATCAAGGTTCAATGACCAATAAAACGAATAAAGAATACAACCACAATTACAATAACTTTCTATTTATTAGAAAATTTTATACTTATCAACGAAAAAAGCTGAAAAAATCGGGTTTTGAACATTTTTAGAATGATTTTGATGAAAATGAGAAATGGTAAAGTTTATTCACGTCAAGAAGCTTTTGCTGCGTTTGTGTTCGCGGTTGGTGACTAGCGAGGGCCTCGAGGGCATCCATGAGTGCTAGTTTCAGCTCTCGCGCCTCTACCAGTTCTCCAAGCGCAAGCAGCACAAGAGTGCCAAAGAGGTCGATCGGGTGGGTTCGGGTGTCGGCTGCGGTTGAACTGGGCGAGTGCGACAACGAGTACCAGATAACCAACATATACTACAAACACGAATACACATTTCCTTAGCTTAGAGTGCGCCTAGAGTCAACGTACAGCAAGAAGTCGATTCTGACCGGACAGGAAAAGCCATGCGGACGCACTAATAATGTCAATAACATCACCATGACATTAAATCAACCGAAAGATTAAATAAATTCAGATAAAAATACTCGAAAACGCATAAAAAAATTTTTTACATTTTGATTAATTGATTAATAGATTAAAGTTTTAAATATTGATTTATGTTAACACTCGGTATGTTAATATTGCAGTCGGAGTCCAGTGACCTATAGATTTTCACAATCTTGCACCTTTGTTTTGTTTCTTCGAAGCTTTGCCTCGATAATCTATATAAAACATATTTAACATGTGTTATGGTTAGATTTCCTGTTTGTTTTCGAAAAAATTACAGCTTATTGAACTTTAATCGCTGTTTTCGCGTTGGTAGCCAGTAAACTTTCAAGTTTAGCAAACACGTTTTGCTTTTAGTACATTTTTCAACATTTCAACGTCTTGCTTTAATAATATTTAACTGTGAAACGTGTAAATTTTATTTATTGTACTAAAAACCAAAACAATAAGTTAAAATTCTTTAGCTAAGAATTTTGCTACGCGTTTTGCTCAAAGTTGTGAGATTTATAGAAAAATGCTTTTAACATACATTCCACTATAATGTTAACCAGTTTTAAATAAATTTTTAGTGTTTTTGGCACTTTAAAAGTGGCAAATGTAAACATATGAACAAGTTTATCATGAAAATTGATTTATAATATTTCCTGTCATCAGAATGTAAGTTGTTTCACTATGATTGATGATAGTTTGGTAAAGTTTCGAAGATTTTTTGATAATTTCTTAGTCTGGAAGTAAAATAAATGTTTAAAGTTGCGCGC